CCCTTTTTGTATGCCCATTAATGTTGCATGAACTTACAAAAGGAGTGATGTTTAGATAGTGATGCTGCACCCACCATATTTCAGATTTTGGCGCACATCCCCTTGGATGCTTCTGCATCCTTGGCATCTCTAGCTGCAGAGCTGGGGAAGACCTCTTTGAAAGATTTATCTAGTGACGGTATATACCACAGGAATAGGTGGACCAAAAATCTGCTCTGTATATGCATATTCAAATGTCGAAGTAATCAGCCCAAAGCACATAATGGAGACACCAAACTGCTTCTGTGCCCACTCTGGCACTGGCTGATTTTTTTCCCCAAATCACACAAGGACTAACTTATGGAAGCTGCTTTGAGGTTATACACAATAGAGTAGGAAGAGTCTTCCAGGCATACAAGATGCATAAATAAAATGTAATAGTGAGCCAAATGAAAAAGAAAAACACTTATCTTGCCTCTGAACAGGCCATAAGGTCAATACTGCCTAAACCTTTGGGCTGTTTTCAAAAACTGATCACTGAAATAATCCACAGAACTGGTTAGCAGGGTATACTGTAAATAGCGATTCTGAAATTGTTTCAATTAAGATACTTCATATCAGAGTTCTCATATCAACCTAAGCTGATAAAAGGCCAGCCGTTGTGACCATATGTGACTCTAGCAGCAACATTAGATCTAAGAGCATTTCAAATTATGTGCCTGATGCTTTAGAGATGATGCAACTCCCTTAAAATAGGAAAAGCACTAGGGCTGTGCAATTGAAATTGAAAAGTCTGTTACTTTGAGTTAGAAATAATTTTTTCCAACCTTACTGGAAGTGTTCTTACATTGTTCCAAGCTGTTCCAACCATTCTGGAGGATTTTAACCTCAAAAGCCTCTGTTCAGAATGTTCAGAACAGGTGCTTTGAGCTTTTAATGGACTGTTGGAACAGTGTTGGATCACTTTCAGTAACTGAACTTTGGAACCAAACACTGTGAACTCAAAATGGACCATATTGAGCTTGAAACGTTTTGAATGTGAAATGTTTTGCACATCTCTAATAAATGCCAAGAATTAAACTACTCACTACTCAGTTTATTAACACTTGTTCAATCCATTTCCCTGCCCAATCAGTGGGTTCATTCCTCATCCTCAGATAACCTCTCTTATAGCTTCACGGATATTGAAAACATGAGAAATTTATTCTGATTCAGACTGCTGATGCAGAAGGATAACACGTTGATCCACTCAGCAGGCTTTTTATCATATCGCATGAAAGCCTCCTTAATAAACTTTATTTGTCCTTTTGGACTTCAAGCATCTGTCTCTAGACATTAATGGGCTTGATTCTACTTAAATATGTATGCTCTGTTCTATACCCCACTGAATGAACCCAAGGATTCTAACCAAAGTTTCTTCAAAACTTTCTCTGCAATTATATCTCACTGAGAAAAAAGACACCAGTGTCATCTGCAGCCCACTGCAATGGCATCACAATGTCCACACATATAGCGACATCATCAACCACACGACACCCTTAAACACTTGGCTCTTGGAATCTGACACAACTATCTAAGTTATAATTACACCACACATTTCCTCATTCCCCCCAGCCCCTACGGATGCCCACGAAAGGCACTTGATGGGGAATCTGGTGTATGTAATGTCTACTAAGTCAAAGCTATTGTCTATGGAACTATGATTGAAAATATCTAAGCCAACATGACCACACATACCTCCTAAATAGCACTGTCTGGGCAAATACAGAGACATCAATTTCTTCCTTTAATAACATCCAGTAGCTCTGAGAAAGTGGAAGTGATTAATTGCAATTTGACAACCACATTTATCTCTCCATTTCGTTGCAGGATACAGCACAAGGGAAACTCTGTTTGCAGTCATGCGCAGCAGTAATTTATTAGTGGTTTAAGGATGTGGGCCCAGAACAAATTCTAGACAAAAGAAAAACATGTTTGGGTTTTTACAGTCTGCCTTGGCAAAAGGACCAAAGCTGTGCTTGGGAGTGCCAACATTTGATACTGTGTTTGTTCTAGTCAGGGTGACAGCTAACAAATGACCCTGGTTTGGTTTTAATTACTGCAGGAGAAGAAAGCGTGTATATTCATCTGCAATCAGCTTTGCAAAACAAGAAGTATAAAAGCAAAATAGCCATGGTATTTTACTCATTGGCATGATTTTTTTTAAGTGTATAAATAAAGGGCACAGATCTGAAATCACAGAATAATGCCTTTGGTAGTTATTATCAGTTGCGAGGATAAAAGGCAAAGTTGGGTGCAAGATCTCTGTCTGGAGTATCATTAGCTTTCATTTCTTCTTGTTTTAACCTTCTGCTGGGTATGGGCTTCTATTCATTTGAAATCTGAGACAATCTGTTTTTGATTTTTAAAGTGGTGTACTGGCTTACATGCATACATTCAGTTAAGTGAATGCATTCCAGTGAAGATAACCTAGTGGTTTAGTGAAACTCCCAGGAATACTGAAGAGGGATGAGTCACCTAAATTGTTCATTCTGTAGAATATATTTAAGATGTTGTGCTGGCAAAAAGAACTAGCTTGGGAACCTGCCAATATTTTCTCACAATTGGGCAAGATACTTCTTAGTCCGTCTCTGATTTTTATGCACTGTTTCTTATAACCTTCGTACTAATGTGATTCGCAACAGAAAGCCTTGTACAATTAGTTTTTTTTTTTTTTTAATGTAGTCACATTTTGTTGTAAAATATTTGAGATCCTACCTTTGTCAGTGTTTGGGACCATGGAAAGCTGAGCAATTCAAATAGGCCAGTGACATTTGCAGACACAAGAGGATGGTCCATTAGATTTTTTTCCCCATGTATGTTAATTTTTTCTCAAGTATTGCAACTAGCCACACATTTTTCAAATTAACATTAATTAACAGAACACTCTATGCATATCTTCTTGAAATATATCCAAGGAAGCTCCAGGGAATTTAATAGGTCTTCCTCCAGGGTGAAGACTGCAGTCTGAGAATTTTCTGAACCAAAACTTGTCTTGGAACAGCAGTCTTCCTCACAGTCACTCTTCTTTTGCTTGCATTATTTCCTGAATTAGAATTCAGCTGGACAATTCTGACTGCACATCCAGTTTGATGATATAATATTCATTTTAGCCATACGCTTGATTTACGCTTGCGTTCTCCTGAGCTTTATAATTAATATCCAGACAGCCTACAATAAAAGTCTAAATAAAAATTACATTTACTGTAAAGACAAATAGCAATAGGCAGGCACAAATTAAAAGGAAAATTATAGATGCCTTTTTTTTTTAGTTTAAAATTTATTTTAAGGCAATTGACTGTTATACATAAATGGGATGAGGAGATATATGGTGTGATATACTGGAAAAAATATTGTGAATGTATAACCTTTATATAAAAATTAATTTTTTAGGCTTTATCAAGTTAAATGTATTTTGTACATGTTGCAAGAGAGATGCAACACTATTAAGTCAAATTCGGCAGCATCCTATTTCCTGTAGAGATCATGAAGCCGCTGGCTTTTTGAGACCTAGAAAATGAGTACTAAATGAGAGCAGCGTAGTTTTTCTTTGCAAAGAAGCACCCCAGAGCATGTCGAAGGGATATGGCAAGTATTTATTTTCTAAATATCTACTTGTCAGGCTATGATTTTCAGCAGAGCCTGGGAAGAGTTTGATTTTGTTTCGCTTGGGGTGAATTTCTTTGCTGTGGTTTTAATGGAGCAGCACTGCTGGCCTTTATGAACCTCATGGCCTCCATGTGGGGTTGGACTCTAAAGTCCTTTATCCCCTAGTTGGGCAAGACCATACCGTGTTGTAAATACATCCTTGAATATTATCCCAACAGCATTTGTAGGGATAAAATGCACTTCTGAGTGAGTCTGTGAGGATGCAGCTATTGCAGAAGGAACATAGATTGAACACAATAGTACTCAATTCTGAATAAACTTGCTACCTGTTATTAGGAGATTATGTTTGTAAAATGAAAGATACCAGAGAAAGAAGACTGCATGTTTGACCTGACCTGTATCTTGAGCCGGCTCTTCCCTTTTATCACAGAAATGTAGTTCTTAGGCCATGGTGATGGAAAGGCGTTACGTATGTGCTCAGAATCACTTTTTTCTCTGTTGTTAACTTGGCTTATTCTAGTGCTGAGTTTGGCATTGGAACTCCTATAATTTCTTTTCTGGTTGTTATTATTCAAATTGTTCTATACTCACTACATTAACTGATTGGGGGACTACTTAATATTATTCAGTTTACTTTTATTTTTAAGAAGTAATGACAAAAGGAGCAGTACAACAGAAAGATATATTAGTCATTACACAATTATTCTTTCAAAATAATAAAGGCAACCAAATAAATAAACTGGGCTAAGTCTGATAACATAAAGCTGTATATATTAATAATTGTGTGCCACTAGGGTTTGAAGATGTGTGTTGATTTTTCTCCATAAGGTCGTACCATTCTATGCTTTTTTGGTGTTGCTATTTTTAACCACTTTGTTACATTTTTCCCTTTTTTATATCAAATATCCTGGTAATTTTTATTGAAGGGTTTAGAATAAATATGAAACACACCAATGAATTGGGCTCCTTTGGTCTTTGGCCAGATTCAGTGTTGTTTTCATTATCTACTTAACTAGCTAGTGTTGGGTACACAAAGCTTTTGTCACATAACACTGTTTATATGTGGATGGGAGACCAATTGATCGATTAACCAGTCAGTCAGTCAACAAGTGGGGTTTTCATGTGAAGGAGTCCCAAATGTGGAATGGGAAGATTCAATGGAGCACTGTACATAGGGTTAACTTTTTTTTAAGCTAGTCCAATCCTAAAGATTCTTAATATAAATCTCATGAAATCATGCAAATCTATGTGCTTATACTTTACATATATGTCTCCCCTCTTCTTTCTTTCTTTATTTGTGATTCTTAAACTCATATATCAATGTTCCTTTGCAAACTATTATTCTGAATGCATATCTCAATTCTTTATTTCAGGTTGCACCCACCATTAAAGAAAGGATGGTAAAAAAGGGCAGCATGATGCTGGGTTATCAACCTCATCATGGAAAAGTTAATTTCTTTCGCCAGGTCATCATTAGCCCCCAGGTGATCCGCGAAGATATGGACTTCCTGCTTGATGAGATTGATTCGCTTGGGAAAGACTTGTAGTTGACACTCCCCAACACTAGTGCAGCTTCTGTGTGTAGAGTTTATAGTCTAAAAAAGTGGCATGACGTTATTAGACCTTGTGATTCATATAAAAATGCTCAGTAGATGGTGGGCAAATGGTGGGCAAATGGAAGTCTGATTTTCTGCCATTCTAATAAACAGGTAATAACTTCTTGAAAGATACACTTTGCATCTCTAAACTGCAAGATGAAACATTACTTCATCACTAAGATGAGTATCTAATTTAATTCCTGTAACTGAACTGAGTGCAGTTAAGTCATTGATGTAGCAGGGCTAAGTGTGACTCAATGAGTATTAAATGAAAGAGTACTGTCATGTGTTGTGAAATTTAAAAGTTAAAGGAAATTTTATCATGATGGGGTGATGTACAAGTGTTACCAACTGTGCTGCCCTTTGGAAAAATGAAGTGTTATATGAGCAATTGGATACGTCATCAACCACACATTTTTCCTGAAAACATTCATTTTTGTGTAGAGATCCAAAAAGATCCATGCTGAAGATTGTACAACATCTCGTCTATCTTTGGACAATTGATTTCATGTAGCAGCCTTTTCCATTGATAAATTGGGATTACAACCTCTCTTATTCCAAGCAGCATGGCTAAAAGTTGTGCTGGCTGGGAATTCTGGGAATTATAATCTCATCCCCCATCTGGAGGACATGAAGATGAGGTAAACTGGTTTATAATTTCTGAAACATGTCTACAATACTAAAATAGCAACAAGGTCTTTCTTAAGCATTTCAGAAGCATATTTGAGTTAAAGTTTATGTGTGTATGTACACATATAGATCTTAGTTGTATTTTTGATGCAGTGTAACTATTTAAAATAAGGTTTATGGCACTGATTCATCATCATTTATGTAATAATATAAAAACCATCAGCATTCACCTACCTGAATATAAACTTGTTGGAGACTACACTAAAAGCAATATATGTATGTAATCATTTGAAATATGTTTGTAATATTCAGATAGAGACATAGTTAAATGGTAAATAGGTTTGTGAAGATGGAAAGGCCTATAATATTTCCTCCTATTTAATTTATTGCACTACACTTTAACAAACCTGTTTGTTATTCATGATCTTATTATTTTATTACTTTATGTAGGGCTTCTACTATACTTGTTCATTTAAACGTTGAAGTTACATTTGAAGCATGACATAATATTTAATTTAGTAATGCCCTGTGTTGTTTCTTTCTGCTTTCAGAGTTATGTCTTACATATAGTGCATAACAGAATTGTCTAGATTCAGCATTGTAGAGATAATCCTTGTAGCAGCATATTTCAGTTTAACAAGTACACAACTCCTATGTTTTAGTTGACTGTTTGAATTAAATGCTTTATGATAAATGGTTTATCAAAAAGTACCTGACCACTCAATCTACTACAGCACTACCAGCATAAGCTATGAAAAGGATAACACATCCATACATCAGAAACATCTCAGAAACAACCAGACTGTTATAATCACACAGTTGTACCATATAAACCAACCAAAGCCCTCCAAAACATCTTAAGCAAACCAAAAGACACAGTAGCCCAAGAAGAAGAAAAAACACAGGAGTCATCTATAACCTACAATTCAAAGACTGTAACAGCCACTATGTAGGACAGACAGGCAGGAGACTAGCAGAGCACATCCATGAACACCAACCAGCAGTCAGAAGACATGATGAAAACTCCTTAA